ACACCACTAGATGCTTTCCTTATTAGTAGGGAAATCCACTTCTGTGCCCTTTCTGGTTAAGGTTCACTTTGTTAAAGAATCCTCACAATCCCTAACTTCATGATTAAGCTCCACCACTGCCAGATCCCTGTCAAATGATAGTACCCTTATTATTCATGGAGGCAGGGCTGCTGTTAGAAATCATGGGGTCCCATACAGCCTATCTGACGCCCCCCACTGCTAACAGTGGGAGATGTTTAAATCTACGAAGTACTGGGGTCAAAAGTATGTAAGATGCAGAGTGCGGGTGTCTGAAGTATATAACATAAAGAGTGCAGGTATCAGGTGTATATAATGTACAAAATGCTGGTGTCAGGATAGTGTATTGTATGGAGTACAGGGGTCAGGAGTGGGTAATGCATAGAGTACAGGGGTCAGGAGTGGGTAATGCATAGAGTACAGGGGTCAGGAGTGGGTAATGCATAGAGTACAGGGGTCAGGAGTGGGTAATGCATAGAGTACAGGGGTCAGAAGTGGGTAATGCATAGAGTACAGGAGGGGTCAGAGAGGGGTCAGGAGTGGGTAATATACATAGTTCAGGGATCAGGAATGGGTAATATACAGAGTTCAGGAGTCGGAACTGGATAATGTATAGCGTACAGGGGTCATGAATGGATAATGTACATAGCTCAGGGGTCAGGGGTAGGTAACGCATAGAGTGCAGGTGTCAGGTGTGCAATGTACATAGTTCAGGGCACAGGAGTGGGTAACACATAGAGTGTAGGGGTCAGGAGTGGGTAACACTTAGAGCAAAAGGGTCAGGAGTATGTAACGCACAGAGTGCAAGGGTTCAGAGGGGTAATGCAGAGGAAAAGGTTGTATTGGCAGAGGATGTGGCAAAAGCTGCAAAGGCAGTGGATGGGGTTTCACACATGCTTTGCATTGTGGCGTGGCAGAAATTATCCCCTGGTGGCCGAACGTGACACCACTTTCAAAATTGCACATTGAGTTCAATAGGGCCAGGCCGCAACCATGTGCGATCGCAGTGTGGTTGTGTGGCATTACAGAGTTAAATCAGGTGGTGAGGAGGCAATAAAACGCCCTCTGAAAAGTGATCTGAAAGCAGAACACTCTTCAGAGGGCACCACAAGTCTGAAAGAACCAAGTTTGCAGCACTTAAAAAAGACTTCCTCAGGCCCCATTTGTTCAGCAGGGGACCGGGGGGCAGAAAAGGGACTAATTAATGAGTTTTGGTGCAGGTAGAGCAATCTACAGTGCTGCTTTTTCCAACAATTAGATTAAAGTCCCGACCTGTCCTGGTGGATTCATATAGAAGAGGTTAGGTCTTTTATTTAATTAGCAGAAACTGTGATGCCGCAGATTACTCCGCCTGTACGAAAAAGTCATTAAATAGTCCTCTTTCTGCCCCTGGCTGAACAAATGGGGCCCAGGGAAGTTTTTGTTTTTTAACTTGCTGCCGAGTGGGGTGCTCAGAAGTTGAGAGTTCCCTCTCTGCCTCTGTACCCCCCCCCCCCGTTGAATTAGCAGGGATGAGCCCGGTACTGGAGGGTCGGCACTAACCCCTGATTGGCTGCCCTGAATGAAAGCAGTTTCATGGGACAGTGGAGTGGCAATTGGTAGGGCTTAGTCCTAAAATGCCCATGTAGTAGAGTAAAACTATCTCAATTGTTTGTATTAATAATTGTATTTTATGAATTATGGGTGAAAACATTGATTAACAGACCCCTAAAATGTAGTTATTCACATAGAATGGCTATGTACACTGTGACACAAGGTGTATTTATAAAGCAGTATATATACAACAGTAACTGTAATAATATATTCCCTGGTGGAGAATCAATCACGGTCATTTAAAACACATGGACCTGGAAGATTCAGCTGCAGAGAATGTTTGCTGAGTGTCACACTCACTGCTTTATAAATGCGCCCCTAGCTTTTACCAGTAGGTGGCACTACATGTGAAATCTAATGTGCGGAAGTAAGGGGAAGTCCCGGACAGACCTGGAAAGGGAAGATGAGCAGCTTCTTGTCAAAATGGAAAATTCCTTTATGACTGATCAAAAAAGTGTTTTGTAATGACACACATTACCATATGTGTCCACATGCTGCAATTGTAAAGGATCCCATGTAATTATCTTAATTTGAACATTTAGTTTAAATCAGCTAACTACATTCTAAATGAGTAGGTTAATTGGCTCCTGTCTAAATTGGCCCTAGTATATGAATATAAGTTAGGGACCTTAGATTGTAGACCCCTTGAGGGTTAGGGACTGATGTGAATGTACAATATATATGTAAAGCGCTGTGTAAATTGATGGCGCTACATAAGTACTTCTAATAATAATAATAACAATTAAAGGTGTGCAAGGTCTTACAGTTTATTTTCTTTAGAAACTAGCTAAAGCCTGAGTAGAAAAGCCTGTTTCCTGCCAGCAAGCTGCAGAGAAGGACCCTTACTCTTTATGTGGAAGCAGTGGACTCTCTGAAACCCATTGCTGAGTCAGAGCTAGAGCTCTCCAATCAACAACACTCATGCTCCCTGCTGGTTGAAGAGCTCTGGCTCTGGTTCAGCAAGGGATGTAACAACAAAGGGAGGGTGCATCAACTTAGCACATTACCACAACACAATTTTATTAAAATCAATAATACTGTATAAGTGACGTACTCACAAACATGTGACATACACAAGCATACTAGGAAATGCAAATGAGACTGCTTCCAGGTCCACAGCACTCAACTGATCACAAGGGAAGTCCGCATAGTGTCCAAAACAACTTATGTGTTTCAGGGGTCAAGTCCTCTTCTGCAGAGCCCACAGTCCTGAGCAAGACATATTAGATCAATACCTGTAAGCCCGTCACGTGTAGAGTTCATCAAGTCCTTAAGCACCACACTCAAGCACAGGAGGATTCTTTAGTCAACAAGGGATGTGTCAGACCTCTGCACTGCTCTCTCTTCTGCAGCTGCTGGCAGGGGGCAGGCTGTTCTACTAGGTGGCTGTTTTCTAAAGAAAACAAAATGTTAGACTGTGCACACCTTTCGTTTTTCTGGACATGGAATGTTTAGAGCTGATTTAAACTAAAAAATCAGTTAGGCTCTAACATGTACACTATATGAAGGGACTTGTTTTTAAGTTTTGGATTGGGTGGGAACGGATTAGACCCTAAGTAAGACTTTTCCAACCCGCAGCCCATGGGCCAAATGCTGCCCAAGACTACTATGTATGCAACCCTATACAAAATCGCAAACTTAAAAATTTAGATTTTTGGGGATTTTATTTTAAAAAAAATATGTGTACACTTAACGAACACGTGGCCAAAGAAAAATTTGACAGTGAACTTTTAGAAAATGTATCATCCCCCAAAAAACTCCCCGCTCTTCACAATCGCACCTTAACCACGTCATCAGTTTTTAGCTGCACCTATATTTGTGAGCAAATATTTTTAAGAATGAAGCACATGAAGGGCAAAATTAGAACCAAAATTTCTAAGCTCCATGGGAATTCATTGAGAATTGCTACCACATTCATAGAATCCGATATTGATGCGTTTGTTTATCAAAAACAGTGTCAAATATCACACTAGTTTTATGTTGCCTCTTTTACTTTTATAATAAAAAATATTACAAAAAAATGAAGCTTTATTACTCAGATAGGCACCTGATCTATATCAGTGATTGTTAAATTGTGATCTGCCTGACTTTTTCTGCTCATCAGCTTTACCTTACTGTTAGTGTATGTCATGTACGGCCCAAGACAATTCCTCTTCTTCCAGTGTGGCCCAGGAAGGCCAAAAGGTTAGACACCCATGGCCTAAATCAAGATTTGTTGCTATCTATATCCCCACTGGATAGATTTACTCCTCTGTTTGTACTGGTGGCCACTGTCACTGAAACAAAAAGTGAGGGGATTGCCAAAAATGTTAGACCAGAGCAAGTGGTGATGGGAAGATCATACACTTTAACCATGCAGGTCAATGCACAGAATATATATTGTGCAGGACTTTTCCCACTGCAACCCAGCACAGCCAAGCACAAAGTATTCTCGGACAAAATACATCTTCCTTTGTCCATGAAAATATTGTTTTTATTATGTGTTTTCATTTGTCCATGCATTTTTTTACTTTTTGCAAAAATACATAAAAATGTGTCTGCTGTAAATGAGCCCTTTAATTGAAAACAACAACAAAAAAAAAAAAGACTCCAGGATAAAAATGGTCTATCTACAACAAAGCAAAAGAGTTTACTAAAATGTTCTTTAATGGATCATTATCATTGTACAGTTTCAATTATACTTATGTATAAATGAATGTAAGTGGTGTCTATTCTATTCACATTTACACATTTATAGACTTTCTAATGTATTCCAGACTGCATTTGCATTGTTATAACTGCATTAATGCAGACTATCAGATGATATAATTCATTATATTAAACTTTTTATTGGTTTACCTAACTTTTGTGTGCATTTTACTTCAGTATGGGATCTAATTAGTCTGCAATCATTGATAAGAACCACTGGATATGTGAAAATAGATGTGTTTATAAAAGAAACCAAACCCATTTCTTTTACATTACACTATTACACAAATGGAAGCTGATATTTGATTGGTTCCTTCATACACCACACTTTACTTTTTTTAATTATCTAATCCACTTATTTCTATTCTGTTACTAATAGACTCCAATCTGTTGGATTGTATTTACATGCAATAGCAAAAATTAACAGGTATCATTACAAAGCTAAAGAATCAAATTAGGGGGTAGTGCAAGCATGAGAGAAGTGTGGAGGCTCTGATAGTGGGCAATATGCGCAGGACAAAAGTGCAGGGGGTATAAAAGTGGACAATATACGCAGGAGAGGACTGTGGAGGGTATGACAGTGAGCAGTATGTGCAGAAGAGGAATGTGGAGGGTATGACAGTGGGCAGTATGTGCAGGAGATGATTGTGAGGGGGTATAACAGTGAGCAGTATGTACAGGAGAGGAGTGTGGAGGGCAAGACAGTGAGCAGTATGTGCAGAAGAGGTGTGTGGAGGGTATAACAGTGGGCAGTATGTGCAGGGGAGGAGTTCGGAGGGTATGAGAATGGGCAGCAAGTGTAGGAGAGATGTGTGAAGGTTATGACAGTGGGCAGTATGTACAGGTGAGGAGCATGGAGGGTATGAAAGTTGGAAGTATGTACAGGGGAGGAGGCTATGACAGTGGACAGTATGTACAGGAGAGGAGTGTGGAGGGTATGACAGTGGGCAGTATGTACAAGAGAGGAATGTGGAGGGTATGGCAGTGGGCAGTATGTACAGGAGAGGAGTGTGGAGGGTATAGCAGTGGCAGTATGTACAGGAGAGGAGTGTGGAGGGTATGGCAGTGGGCAATATGTACAGGAGAGGAGTGTGGAGGGTATGGCAGTGGGCAGTATGTGCAGGAAAGGAGTATAGAGGGTATGACAGTGGTTAGTATGTACAGGAGAAGAGTGTGGAGGGCATGGCAGTGGGCAGTATGTGCAGGAGAGGAGTGTGGAGGGTATGGCAGTGGGCAATATGTAAAGGAGAGGAGTGTGGAGGGTATGGCAGTGGGCAGTATGTGCAGGAGAGGGGTGTAGAGGGTATGACAGTGGGCAGTATGTACAGGAGAGGAGTGTGAAGGATATGAGCGTGGGCAGTATGTACAGGAGAGGGGTGTGAAGGGTATGAGAGTGGGTAGTATGTACAGGAGAGCAGTGTGAAGGGTATGAGAGTGGGCAGTATGTACAGGAGAGGGGTGTGAAGGGTATGAGAGTGGGTAGTATGTACAGGAGAGCAGTGTGAAGGGTATGAGAGTGGGAGTATGTACAGGAGAGGGGTGTGAAGGGTATGAGAGTGGGCAGTATGTACAGGAGAGGAGTGCAGATGGTATAACAGCAGGCAGTGTGAGCAGAAGGGGAGTGTGTAGGATATGAAAGCAGGCAGTATGTGCAGAGGCAGAGTGCTAAAAGAGTTTAATAAGGGGACAGTATGTGCAGGAAAGTACAGCAGAAATATAGCAGAGAGAGGAGTGCAAGAGTAGAGTTTGGAAGATAAGACGGTGGGCAGTATGTGCAGGAGAGTAGTGCAGAAGGGTTGACAGCATGCATTATGTGCAGGAGAGAAGTATTAAAAAGTATTACAGCAGACAGTATGTGTAGGAGAGAGTCTGGAGGGTAGGTCCTGTGTACGGAAGTGGTGGTGGTGGTGGTGAGTAATGATGAGTGAAGCAAGCAAAGTTTGGTTTGTTGGAGGTTTGACGAATAAATGAAAAAAAATTGGAAAACCTTGAACATATCATCTAAACCCTACTGATAACTATAGGATCTGAATCTTGTTATTTTTTCCTGGCCTTTATCAAGGTCAATTTTCAAGTTTTCAGTAAAAAATAGGTAGCTGGGCACTACCATGAAGGACATGACCAATGCAAAAAATGTGTTTAAAATATACCATTTGCCAGGGAGGGGATCTTTTTAAATGAGGTACAGCATTAAAATAACACAATTCTCCATAAATAACATGCTTTGGGGACTCCTATGGCTCGGCTCACACTGCTGTGATCTCAAAGTTGATTGATTTCCAGTGCGACTTTGTATTGCAACCTGATTGCGACCTCAATGTGACTTTTACGTGAATTCCATGTTTTATGAGTTTGGCTTTGGCCAATCATAACAATACAGGGTACAACACAAAATTATGAACTTACAAAACCCTCCTAAATTTCAGCCAATGTTGCAAAAATAAGACAAAGAAACAACTTCCTTGCGACTTTTGTGAATTTAATTTAACATTGCAGTCTATGGCACTCATATCACAAGGAAGAAAAGTAGTGCAAGAACTATTTTTTTGGTGCTGCAACTTAAGTCGTAGCAATTAAGACATCACCTACTGAAATAAATGTGTTTTGACTTGTCATGAAACTTTCTGTATCGCAAGTCTCATCAGAACACAGCAGTGTGAACCAGGACTTAAACCCTGTGTGAAGTGGTGCACTTGTAAGATGAACTACAATAAAGCTGACATGTAGAAAAAAATACAATTTTGCTAAATGACATTTGCTGGCTGGCTTTGTTCTATTTGTAAACAAAACAGCCAGGGGATTTCCCTCAAAAATCTATACCAGACCTTTAATCAGGCAAAAGAACAAGAACATGATGTGAGGGAGTCGGAGTTTTAGTAAAATAATTTTTAAATATTGTTTTGATAATAAGAAAAAACAGGGTATGAAATAAAATAAAAGGGTTTTCAAAGTGAAAAAAACTCGAAGTCTTTCCATTCTTAGGTTCATTGCAGTGTAAGAATCAATTGCAGAGTAAGTCCAATCTGCTGAGCAAAAGTCACTGGCCTGCTTAAGGTACCCCAGTATCCTTTGCAATTGTGATCGTAAAAGTGAGTCCTTAGAGATGTAACTGCAAGAGATTTTTTCTTGATTACTGTCATAGAGCAAATCAAAAGGGTTTAAGGCGTGTTATGAAGGTTTGCTGTAGTATTTTATTGTGCCCAATAAACACTCCCTTAATGACAACTATCCTGGGCACATCCATATCTCCATATTAAAAAGTTTCACAGTCAGAAAACTAAAGTAATATTTAGTAGTCATATCAATTTATGGAGCTTAGGTTTGTGTCAAAATTCAATCGATCATATACAATAGAACTATATGAGTACTGTCATTTGTTGGATTAATGCATCTCAATCATTACTAGTCAAATTGATTTAAGCCCCAAAAAGGGAGATATTTCAATGTGAAGGACCATCCTTCATTGCAATTTTTATAGCCATAAATTTTGATTTGTGATTATTTTGACATGTTTTATATATTGTTTATTTTGTATGAAGGATGGTAATTTGCTTTAGTAGATCCCCTTTTTTTAGGGCAAGTCAATTCAATGAATATAATTTAGTAGAATGAAGATATGATTTGTTAGATACTTAGTATGATATAGATATTATGCACATTTCTCTTATTAGACTTCTGGACTTTGTTGTCTAACAATTGGTTTCTTCTTCGGTGTAACCATGTTTTCTAAATGTAACTCCATTACAGTAGGAATTGTAGAATATGGATTAGAATTGATGATTTGAAATGTATGAAAGTCGGTTTTCATTTGTCAAAAAACAAATTCACAGATGTATATTTTTCTCTATACTGTTTATACTTTACAGGCGCTAGCTAGTGGGGGTTTATGATATATATGCTTTTTGTCTGTTTCTTATGTTGGGCTGAATCTTGTCAAATGTGTCCCTTTCCATAAATGTCTAGTACAGCCATGAGGTTTAAATTTGATGGTTTTTGTGCCAACTTGTGAATTCTGTAGAAAATAAAGGTAATACGGCGTTCACTGCTATTCCCCCATTCTTTTCTACACAGTTTAGGGCTTGTCAGACATCATCATTGTAAAAGTTATGGCTTTCAGGTTACAATCATGCCACGCACACCATTAATGTTTAGTGTTCTCCTGAAAGTGGACTAATAAACACTGACATTCACCAATGTAAGAGACGCCTTTTGATGCTTAAACATTAGCAATGGGTGAGATCTTCTGGAGTACTACACACATTTCTCTTGGTGTGATCCTTGTTGGTTGACCACTTCTCGGAGGGAGGTAATTTGTACACAATCTGTTGAACAGTGGACTGGTGTAGTCCAAACTCTTTAGGAATACTCTTGTAATCTTGTCTAGCCTGGTGAGCATCTATTATTGTCTTTCAGAGATCCTCAGAAATCTCCACACTTTTACAAACTAGTGTTTTTAATATCAGATTTGGATAGTGAAGATACAAATTTTTTGTTAATAAGGTTTAAATAAGGCAGGGCCTTCCACATTTGAACTTTTTAATTATCCAATTGACTGAAACACCTGACCCTAATTTTTCTTTCTAAGGAGTCCTTGAGGTTCACATTTTTTCACACACAAATATGTAATTTTAGATCATTTTTCAATAAATGTGTTCAATAAGTAGATGAAAAAGTATAATACTTTTGATTCCTTTTTTTTTTTTTTTTTTAGAATTTTCATGATCTATTTTTAGGACTTGCATTAAAACAGATCATATTTTTGTATTTCTTTTTAAATACACTCATTTAAAGTAAGTATTGTAAATATCATTTATGCATTTGTCATGCGCTGAGCAACAAAAATAAATAAAAAAGATTCTTGCATTATAATCCATACTTTGGGGCAAGCTAATTTGAAAAGGTTAAACTAATTAAATGTGTGCATGTCTAATCTTTATATAAATAGGCAAACCACTATAGCATAAACATTCAATTACAAATAAAATGGGTGGATGAATGAGTGAAAATCTTCCTGCGAAGCTCTTGCAGCAATCAACAAATAATTGCGTGTTTTAAGATTCACACCCTGTTCTCCGATTATAGATAATGAATGCATAGGTACAGAACAGAAGAATCACAGACCGCAGTTAATTTTATTAAGAGTGTCAAATTACGGTCAGCGGTGTTCTGACATGTGGTTCTGGAACTTGATGGAAAAAGGAGGTAGTAAAAGTTTAGAAAAAAGTGAGTAAAAATAAGAATATTTAAAGAATACTATAGCCAAAACTTGTACATATAGATTTTATAGATGGACTGATAGACTGTTAACTGATACCAGTGTACAGGTAGGTAGCTAGCTAGACAGACAGACAGATAGACAGACAGATAGACGGATAGATAGATAGATAGATAGATAGATAGATAGATAGATAGATAGATAGATAGATAGATAGATAGATGGATTCCGGAAACCAGAATTCGGAAACCGGAACTCGGCTTCACAATGAGACTTGGGACGCAGCCGCTCCATCATCTGTGCTTGCCGCTAGAGAATTTCTCCTCACATTTGGCGAGCGGGCGAGAGGCTTTTTCAAGCCCTGCATCTAGCAGGTTACCAAGAAAAGATGGACATATATGGAAGGAGCACCAGATTAAAAGATCAGTCCAAATCAGTCCAAATCAGCAGTCAAAATAAGAAGCTTCTTATTTTGAATACTGATGCAGACACTGCTTCCCAGGAATCCTAATCCAGCAATCAGCTTCCCTGCAAAGATTCAAACAGGAAAGCCATACTCTGAATCCACTCAAGGTTCTCATTTTCAACTGAAGCCCTCACGAAGGGGGAGTTCCTTTGACTCCCAGAATGCGTTGGCTGTCTTTAACACAACATCAATAAAGGGATTTGGAGTCTTATCTTTTGTTCTGGCACTCCTTCCATATATGCATGACATCCACAGTAGGCTACAAAATTTTTATGGAGATGACATCATTGACAAGAGTCACCAGTGATAAGACATTGCTCTTATCAATGGTGTCATCTCTGTGAACATTCTGTAGCCTTCTGTGGATGTAGAACAGCCTCCATCGTCCAGAAGTCAATGATGTAAATGAAGTCAGTGTTCATACAGATGACATCATTGACCAGAGTAATGTCTTGTCACTGGTGACTCTTGTCAATTATGTCATCTCCATAAA